TGAAATGCAAACATTAGGACAAAACAAACTTTACAATATTGTGCTCGTTTAGTCAACTTTCTTATTTTCACCAAGTGAACTTACTTGATATTGTCAACCATTGGTGTTAGTTAATGTACCCTAATATTCTATCAATATTATTTCCGAGAAATAAGAGTTCGTTTCTTGAATAACCACAAATTTATTTCTAACGAGTTGTTGATGTGCTATATGTATTGCCATTATAGTAGAGCTGTGTTAAAGAAAAGTATATTGATGCAGATAGTTTTAAAAATATTATACATTATATGGGTAGATTCAGTATAATTAATTATTTAAAAGTAAAAGATGCAATGTATAAAAATTAATTGTGATTTCGGAATAAACTCATTTACTGAAATATATTATGTGTGCATCATATTCGCTTATATATCCAGTGTATTGTGAAACATGACGCGTGTATGTGAGAGTGGATAACTGTACATTTAAGTGTCCCGGTCGTCACGCCGCGTTGTGTTTGACGCATGCAATGCGTGCAAAAATAAATTACATTACATTTGTTTACATGACTACAGTGCTTTAATCATCCCTGTGTTTAGGAACAATAGTATAACCATATATTATGCAGTCTGTCAATAAAATGCCTATCCTCATATGGTAGTCATGTGACCAGATAATGTAATTTGTCATTATAATGTATATTACCACATGATAGTCATGTGACCAGTTAATGCATTCTGTCATTATATTGTATATTATCACACAGTAGTCATGTGATCAAATAATGAAGTCTGTCATTATATTGTTTATTATCACACAGTAGTCATGTGACCAAATAATGAAGTCTGTCTTCACCAGACTGCACACCCACTCACTAGCACACAGCACACTATACACGCTAGGTATAAGGTTAGGTTGCAGGATGTAGCCACTGGAGGAGTTATTTACTCATTTTCACAAACGCCATTCCAAAAGAGCCGTACGGTTTAAAACCGGCAAGACTAAAATTCGCATTAATAAAGTAAAAACGATAACATAACTTTGGACAAGCAGGTATAGTGCAACGAAACTAAAAAAATTACAAACAAATATAAACTTATTTATATCCCTTTTTTGCAAACAGACCACCCAGAAGAAAACTAGCTTTGGGAAAAAATACAGCTGGAAACCTGTACCCGTCGCCTTGTCATGTGCGCCAGAGGGTGGATGTCGGGTTTCACCCAAACCAAAATACTAGTAAATTACACTACATAAAAATGTTTAAGGAAACTGAACCGTAGCTAGTCCAGCGTAGAATGAATTATCATTGCAACAAAAGTTTATGACTTTCCAACAACTCTTTCCATTTTCCAAACAAAGTTTAAGACTCAGCCACCCACATTATCACCTTTTTAATTTTCCAAAGAACATTTTCGATGTCCAAAAATACATTATTGACTTTCCAGTATTGTTTTGACTTTCCAACCAGGCTATGTTACTTTCTAGCAATATTATTCGGCATTTCATCCATCTCCTATGCCTTGCCAATGAATTTTATCAGCTTTTTTTTTATTTTTTCTGCTTTCCAACTAACATATTTGACTGTGAACTATACGGTTTCTCAGCCATAATTTTCCACATTTCAACCCAATTCTTCGATTGTTTGATTGTTTGTTTGATCTTCTATTAGATCAACTTATTCAACTTTCCAACCAACTTCTTTGGCTTTCCGTCCAATTTTATTGACTTCTTTATTACAGAAAAACTGTTCCCACTCTCCAAACAACATCTTTACATCTCCACCAATACGTTTGACTTTCCAAACAACATCTATACATCTCCACCAACACGTTTGACTTTCCAAACAACATCTTTACATCTCCACCAATACGTTTGACTTTCCAAACAACATCTTTACATCTCCACCAATACGTTTGACTTTCCAAACAACATCTTTACATCTCCACCAATACGTTTGACTTTCCAAACAACATCTTTACATCTCCACCAATACGTTTGACTTTCCAAACAACATCTTTACATCTCCACCAATACGTTTGACTTTCCAAACAACATCTTTACATCTCCACCAATACGTTTGACTTTCCAAACAACATCTTTACATCTCCACCAATACGTTTGACTTTCCAAACAATTTTTTGACTTTACAAGCTAATTAATCGCCTTTCTAGCCTATATAATTTCCACGCTACTGTCTTGACTTCACAGCCAACTTATTTAACAATTCAGGCAACATATTT